CTAAAATATAATGTTTAAATTTTGTGGACTAACGTATTCGTGCACCTTTCAAAACGCGATAGTTTTTCTCAAGCTGGATCAAGTGATCTGAATCTTTTTTTTGTGTTACAGTGATTATTTTACTGTACAATCACTAAACTATACTTCAAAAATTTCGTTGCTACTCGAAACGACAAGAAAAATAACAGAAAGCTCAGGTTCGTTAAATTTGTTATCCAAATCCGGAACGAGAATTTAAAAACCGCGTTCCGCGGATCGCGGTGATTCGCACGCGCGCCGAAAATAGCATCGCGATCGTTCGACCTCGATGTCAGCAGTGAACTTGACTTTTATGAATTCTTCGACATCGTGAACAGTGAAATCGCGAGACGGATGAACCGCTCGAACAGATGACAAAAGTCAAGTGGGAGCCCGTACGTCCGTCAATCGTTTCAACAAATCGCCGGGCGTTCGATCCACTCATTTCTGTCGCGAATACGTATAATCAACGGTCTACATACCTCGAACAACCCTAATTTGCTATCGGTCGCTGAAACGCCGCCGGGTGATTTGCATCGATTGTGTTCGCCGCGCTGCCGGGCGTCGACTATTTCGAAACGTTCCGGAGTTGCGCCGTCGAAACCGGCGTTACATCGACGAAGTCATTAAAACCGGTGCTTTTAATCGCGGACCTACGGTTCCGAAACAGAGTCGGGCGCAAGTTTACGACGCGTTCGCAAGCCACCCATTGTGATTTACCGTAATAATTTAGGGCGCGCTTAAGGGCGGGGAGGTCGGGGAAACGGGTCGCTTTTAACCCTTTCGCTACGGGCGGATTTTCCGCCGCGGTACTTCTGCTGAACGGCGCGCTGCGACATCACTGCACACTATAAAACGCCGATCATTGCGGAGATACCGCAGCGGAGAACCCGCTCGTAGCAAAAGGGTTAGTCCAAATAAAGTTAAAGAAAATTGAAAAAAAATAGGGCATATCTATTTATCCGTTGTTGAGAGGAGAATAAGGCGAATTATCTTTCTGCAGTAAGCACTGACTTTATCCGCTACAAACGATCGAACTTATGGAGGGCCACTACAGGGTGTCCCAAAACTGTCTCGCAATCTGGAAATGGCTGGTTCCTTAGATCATTTGAAGCAACTTCTTCCTTTACAAAAATGTTCTCCGAGGCACCGTCAACGAGTTATCAACGAAAAACAGTGACCAATAAGAATCGAGTACGGCTGACGCGAGGCGGCCCTGCCGACCAGCGCACGAAGCCTAGTTCCGCACATTGGCTCGGTCGCCTCGCGCCAGCCGAGCTCGCCTCTCATTGGTCACTGTTTTTCGTTAATAACTCGTTAACGGTGCCTCGGAGAAGATTTTTGTAAAGGAAAAAGTTGCTTTAAATGGCCTTAGGAACCCATTTTTGGAATACCCTGTATAGTGGCCCGTAGTACCTCGGTGGCATCTTATGGAGGGCCACTATAGTGGCCCGTAGTATCGAAAGGGTTAAAACAGCGGCGCCAGCCCGCGCGGCCATGCGTTCCCCATTGTTTAGAATTTCAGAACGTTGGAGTGGCAGTTTCCCGGAATTGCCCCGGCGTGTTCGCCGAATTCGCTTTAATCGCGTTTCCGCAGCGTCGCGGGCCGTTCCGGGCGAACGAAAGGAGAACGGGTTACGGGTCGCGGCAACCATTACGAGCCGGTAAAATCGTAGTTTCGCAAAGTAACGACGTATTTGGCAACCGAGTCAGTCGGTCGGCGCGACAAGCTGCTCCGGAGTTTAGCGAACCGTGAATTTCGCGGGGCGCGCGCTCGCTATTTACTAAAGGCGCGTTCGCAACGGCCGATTCTGCCGCCGCGACGGCCGCGTAGCCGCGAGAAGTTCCGGGCTACGGGGACACGGAAGTCTAATTCTGCGATCGGGTCGCCGAATCGATATTCGAATGTGCTGCACGTCTTTTATAAATAGACGGAAGGTCGGCCGATATTCTCTGCACTTTGCTGGAAATGCCCGGAGGACTGCGTTTGGGCGCACGGTTCCACCGGACTGTGTAATTCGGCGCTTTCGTACTCAATTAACGCTGTTTATACCGAACGGGTCGAGCGTTGCCTTTTCAAATGTTAATTTAACGCTATTTTCAGCGAAAGGGTCGATCGGGCTTCACCTTCTCATTTTTTAATCGATGCTATTCTTACCGAGGGTTCCGAAAGTGCCCTTTGCACATTTTTATTTCACATTGTTTTCGAGGTTTTATCTGTTTTTCTGAATTTAATCTCTTTTTCTGAATTTAATTTAGTTTTCTAAAACCTCTTTTTCTAAGTTTAATCTCTTTTTCTAAATTTAATCTATTTTTCTAAATTCAATCTATTTTTCTGAATTTAATCTCTTTTT